CCTTTTCATGCCGGAATATTTTATAAAATAATAAAAATTAAAATATTTTAAACAAGAATATTAAGAGTTTTTAATCATAATATAATTGAAATAAAAATAAATAAAATTGTTTACATGCAAAATTAATAATTTTTCTCGACTTTCTAGTTGTGTTGCTATAACTAGTAATTAGGTAAAAATAGTTGAAATAGTTTCGTTAAAAGCTGCAGACTGTTCAAAAATTTGAAGTCTGTTAAATGGAAATCGTGAAATAAAGAAAATAAACTAGAGGTAGAGAATTTAAATAGATTCTGACAAGAGGAGTCAGAGAGACAGAATATGAAAAGTCAAACGCTTGACGCATATATATATTCATGCAATTAACAGTAAAAACAACTATTTTATACGAAGATATATGCGTGTTTCTTCAGAGATATATCTATATTATATATATAGAATAATTATTGTTTACAAATTATCAATCAACTATTAAAATTCGATTAAATATAGTTTTATAATATATTTTATAAAATTTTAATGTGTAACTTTTCCACAAGATATGTAATACTGTAGAATTTAACAAATTGAAGGAAATTGAGATCTAATTAAACTGTCAATAAAAAAAGTGAAGATTCTTGTGATGCATCTTGTATGTATATCAACTAATCTCATATTCAGTCCTAGAATAAATATGATTCATCACGTTTACATTCTGAATTGTGTCAAGTCACGAAACATTTTTCAAGGTCTATAATAGTGATATCTAGCGATCAATCTCAATAGAATAAGCCATATTTCCTTATACAAAGACTATTTAACCTCGCAAACCGTGACCGCAAATATTCCATTGTATAAATAAATGTATCACTCAAAGCGAACAGAGATGTGCCAACCGTATTTATATAAAGTAGTACTTCGTTCTCTATTTCCGCTGATTGCTTTTATCAAAGAGATCGTTGATCCTTCGTTGGAGAACTCCTACCTTCCTCAATATAAACTTAAAAGCAATCCAGCTGAAGATCTATCCGATGCGGATGCTTCATGGGATAGCATACAAAATTCAAAGATGATGATTCGACTTCTAAAACGACTTTTTATCAACGCCTTCTTCGTCTTCCTTCTTTCTCTCTCTCTCTCTCTCTTCTTATTTTTCTCCCTCATCCCTTCCCGCCTCTCCTTCTTACTTAATTGTTTCGTATTGCAACGCGATCTCCTTTCCATTCGATTGTATTTCCCCGAACGATAAAGCATCACAACGTAAAATAGGTCATTGATTTCACGATGCACCACGAGATGTATTCACAATTATAATTCATTGCTACTAATAAATTAGATGCGCACTTTGCTAATTCCCGAAAGATTATTGATAACGATTATCCATCTCTCAATATTCAGCTGAAAATCATTATTCGCTCGCATATGTACGTTTGGTAAACACATTACTACTACTGCTCGTTAACGCGCTATCGTCCGCGTCACGTACTGTAGATTGTCATATCATAGATTGCCGCGATAGATCAGCGTCATAAGCGGAACGATAAACAGTAAGATTCTGATCACCAAAACTTTTCCGCGATTAGAACAAATACATTAATATAAGATTGCTAAAATGATAGCTATTCTCTTATATATTGAGATATAAAATTATATTAATTAGATTTTATTCCACATGAAAATGATTCTACAATGATTCATATAGTACTAATATAAAATAAAGATAATAAATATCATTATTCTCTTTTTCTCTCTCTCTCTCTCTCTCTCTCTCTCTCTCTTCATTTCAAAGACAACAACGTAACAAAATTAAAATCTTTTTCGATTGTCAATAAATAAGTACGATAGAAATATAATAGTATATTCTTCTTTAGTGAGAAATTTCAAGAATCTAAGCACAATATATCTTAATATATTCATTCGAAGTTGTTCATTCGCCGCTGCATCTATTCTATGCGTAATTGAAATTTTAGCTTAGGCTCATGTTGCCTTCTCCGCGGATATCAATTAACGCCCGGTAGATGAAACTGATTAGAACGCAAGAACTTTCAGGAGCAATTCGAGCACACCGGGAAATTCTCGGAGACTGTGAAAGTTGATATTCGCGGTGTGCGCTCAGCTTCTCGTCTGGAACTCGCGGATTGCTGGTACCCGAGAGAGAATCTAATACGAGTTAAGATGCATAGACTGTTCATCGAAGATAAACGCGTGTTTTCCTGGGAGATCGCGATTACCAATCACGATCGCTTGGAACTGTCATTGCTCGCGATTTAGCGAACACGAACGAGCCTTTATACGTGTTGTCTCGTTGATAGATTCATGACTAACGACATGCCCCTTTTATATGCCATTTAAAAGCTTGGTTACAAGGTGCAGAGTCCACTTTATTCAATGCGTAACAGCAAAATCATTATAATTTGCCGAAACGTTCAGTATAAATTTTTTTTCTATTTTATTTTATATCCATATGTTTTTTACGCGAATGTAGTTTTTTACGAGATTTAATTTTATTTTATCGAATAATTTTACAACTTTTGTAGTTATAATCACAACACGTTTTGTGATTCTTGTTAAAAAGCAGACATATGCAAGGTTTGATTGGATTTGATTCGATTTTGCAGTCAAAATTGGAATTGGAACTTCTTTTATTTTTTGTCCTTCCTGTATATACGCGGTATGTAAACACTATATGTGGTTCTCACTTCAATCGATGAGATACTATCTCCGAGCACTGAACGCCAAAAAAAAATCTTTTTTTTTTAAATAAATTTGTGCCTGGGGGGAGGGGATACGCGTATTTTTTAAATATCATCTATAAAAATTCGTTAGTATCCATTTCTTTCAAATCCTACATAAATTAAACGAGACAAAGAAATTGTAAATAGTAAATATAATATCAGTTTCACGTTTTTTAATAAACATGTAAATTACATATTGTTATAATTTATTTGCCATATAAAATGTATATTGATAAGTTTGACGTGAATAGAGCGCATCAAATCGCGCATTTATCATCCCACTCTTTTTATTTTCTTAACGATTCTATTTTCCCTCTCTTACACGATTTTATTCCAATGTCTTTAAAGAATAGCCAATTAGTATATAGAAAATAATATTATTGGTTATATTAAATAATATAATGATAAATACCCGATATAAAAGGGGAAAAAGATTTAAATATCGTGAAGTTTAATGATCCAAACCAAGATTACGAAGATTTATGAAAAGCTTGCTAATTAAATTACACACCAAATTATTGCAGCAATTTATACATCCTGCTTTTTTAATAATCTGATTAGATAACCTACTCCGTTTTAAAGGAGAACATGCATATGCATTTAAGAGTCATAATTCACTAAAAATAAAAGAATGTTTAGCAATCTCTAAATCATAAATCATTAAAAAGATAATTGATTCGTCGAAAGCCTTGTGTGCCAACCTTTAAAATTCAATAATAACAAGTATAAGAATAAGAAAATAAGAATATTAAAAACCTTGAAAAAATATGCATTTATATTTAACAAAAAATTGTATGTATGTATATGTGAACCAAAATTATGCGTATATATAAATTTCTATATAAAATAAATTCGTAAAGCTGACTTTTTTGAAAATTACTGATACACGCAAACGAATTTGCATATTTGATATGTGTATTGCAAGTACATCTCACGTACGCCGTTATCGCGCACGTACATCATCAAATACAATTTCATCCTCCAAAATTTATCATATCAGTGTGTGACGCGACATGCTATAAAAGATGTATATATTCTTAATGACAAATATGCATATACTGATATTCTATAAGCTCTCGTCGATTCAAGAAATTTTATTATCAATTTTTATCTCATCTCCCTTCAATACCTCATTTTTTTATAACAATATCATTGTTCTGTTGCATAATAAATATAATAATTATTTTTCTTTTATTTCCTCCTTTTCTTCACATTTCAACTCTCTCTCTCTCTCTCTGTCTCTCTCTCTTTCTGTCCAATTAAATTTTAATCAAACTATTTTCTATAGAAGACACATGCAATTAGCATAATCATAATGTAATTTTAATCACTATGTTAAGGAAGGACATGCAGTTCTATACGCACGTGTAGGTGTTTAAAACCCAATCTTATCGCCATTCAATATTACAACGATCAGAACATCGCACTTGTATAGATAACGTTATTATATTAGAGATAATGATCGAGTTCGATGTATTACGTTGTGTTTATTATGTCCTACATAATATAATTATTATGATTTTGATTTTAATTATTAATTGCTATATTATTTATTAAAATAATATAATATAAAATTTGCGATACCAAAGATTGATTCAATTCGTATTAATATTATAATTTTAGAATGTATTTAAGAAAAGACTCAATATTCAAATTTTTTACTAAATCATTTAATATAGATTAATATATTTTTAACATAGATTCTCTCTATATTGTGTCATGTTGCCTAAATTTATATGCCATATCTAAGTCGCATTAAAAACAATTTATTACGTGTTAAAGATTAAAATTTTTTGATATTCATAATGACACAGTGAAATTTCTATATTTTCTGCTTCTTCGTAATCGTTCACGCAGTGCAGCTTGACGATATCGTATTCCAAATAAAAGCATACTCCCACACGAACCGCAAAACTGGAGTTATCCGCCTCCTATTATTTGAACATCGGCACGCATATTCCGCATAATTGTCGTGTCGTAAATGAAATTTACGTGTCCAATAATTATGATTAATGTAATACGAGTAATTTATATTCTCTGGTTTCTCGTTAACCGCATTAACTCTTCAGCATTACATCGATGATATTAATATTAATCGCTAAATTTCTCAGTGTTAATCAATATTAACGACACTAATAGATCCATGGATTACTTTCATTATCATTTGTTACCGCAACAATGTCAATGTCAATTAAACAGAATACCCCGCATTATCTCGCGTATATCAGTCTGTTTGATTAAAGGATCTTTTTTTTTTTTTATGTTATCAACGGCGCCGAGATGACGTACCTGCCGGTATCGGGCGCGCGGCTTTTCAGCTCGTAGTACATCAATTCCTTGGTGGACGTCGACAAGAGGGACAGGGCCTGCTCGAATTCGTCGTCGTAATCTCCGACGATGGCATGGTGGGCGGCCGTGTCGGCGATGCCGAGCGCGGTCGTCAGGTCGAAACCCATGTCGACTCCGGACTCGTCCATCATCATGGAGCTTCGAATGTGCCGCGCGCTGCCGTGCGCGCGACGAATCACGGCGGACCGGGCCGAACGCGCGCGTTCGAAACTTTAGAGCTGGCGGGACGCGATGCGTCGCGAAAGATAGCGATAACGAGGAACACGCGTGAAGAGGGATAACGAATGTACACGGAGAGAGGAATGCAAGAAACGATGCTCTCTCTCTCTCTCTCTCTCTTTCTCTCTCTCACGGGAGGAATCGATGGGATTACTGGGGAGATAGACTTTTTACGGGAAAGGGGGAAGGGAATTATGGGAGATGGATCGTCACGGCGCGTCTCTGATGGATCACGAGCACCGCGAGGAGACTCCCATTTTGCGGAAGTGTCAAGAGTTTTCGCGCGACTTGTTGGCGTTCGCGCGTGCACGCGTGCGCGGCTCCGTGACGTTCCTTCTCGGTTGCGACGCGCGTTCCATCGCCACCTTCGCGCGCGTTCCTCGAGATTTATCTCAGCACTGGCGACGACGACGACGACGAGCAGCGACAACGCGGCGACGTTTCGCGAGAAGAAACGCACGAACGAGAGGACTGACGACGCGACGAGACGAGCGTGACGCGCGTGTGTATCGATACTACGCGGACCGACCGTCCGACGGGACCGCCACAGGCGTCGCGGCGGCGGTAGCGGCGGTGGCGTCTGACTTATGACTATCGCCATCTCGCGGCCGACCGGCAGTTGTCTTTGAAATGGAAAGCTCCGCGTGGGCGACCTTCCGCGGACTAGCTTTTCCAACGACCTCGTGGCTTGTGGCGCGAGGAATGTTCAAAACAATAACTAGCAAAATAAATTATGTTTGTACAATATTTTCCCTCTCTTCTCGATATTTTCGATCTCTCTTTTATTTAATATGTCTACATTAATTTGCCCGTGTATCATGTGATATCAACAAAAATCTTTAGCGATGTATATGTATATCTAAAGCAGTTGAATTTTTAAATATTTGATATTAATACTTGCTGCGAATGATATAGGATGATCGAGAAAATGATTAACTTCTTCTGAAATTTCTGTTGTGGATAAAAAATATGTTTTTTTCATACTTATACACGAATTGATTCAAATATTACTATGGTCTTTAAAATCAAGTTACAAGTAATAAAAAATTTTAATTATATGATTAAATTATATTGATTAAAGTAACTTATAGTATAAGTGCACAATTTAATACTTTGAAGAACACTAACAATTAAAATTACTGGCAAAATATATTTTTTAGTTTTTAATAGAAATATATTTTCGCGATAAAAAATTACATTCAAATAATAGCTATTCTCTCTCCAATTAATATTCGAATAGACTGCTTAAATTGTGGCATAATTGCAAAGTGTTTTTCTTTTCAATTCAATAAACATTCTAAGAACTGTTTAGCTACTCGTACTAAAACGCGATCCAAACACGAATGTTTAACGCGAAAAAAAAGACAAACCAAAAATATATTATTGTACGCATGTTTGACAAAATAAACATGCATCAGCATAATACGAATGATTATCCGGTGAAGTAATTCGCGAATATGCTGACTTCGATTGTCCGATACTACAACGATATTATGACCTCATGCAGTATCGTAAAGTTCGTCAAAATCATCGTTACTCGGATCTGTCGTGCAAATTAATTAAGGATAAATTATTCGCCACGAGTCGCCATGCGTTCGCGATTATATGCGATACTCTCGATATTAATCCTGCCTGAAATACACGCGATTTATCCGTTCAATGAAGACACTTTACCGCCAAGAATCTCGAGAAAGCTGGATGATTATTGGCAAACCTACAAGGTAACGTTTAAAACGCGAAATATTCGGACAGCTAAACTTCAAAAAATATATATTTTATTATTATTAATTTTTGCATATTGAGATAATGAAAGTAATTTTACTTAAAAATTATATATATTCACACGATTAATTTTCATTTTTAAATTATAATTACAAATTAATTTTTATCTAAGCAAGTTTATATACAATATGAATTTTAACTTTTGTTTAATTATTATTTATAGATATATATCAAAATTTATATAAAAATTGAAAATGCTGATATTATTTTAACTTGATGTTTAATAAGAGAAAATATGTGCATCTTGTAAACGATCTTTCTACGACGGCTTTTCTAGGATTGCATATACATTTGCGTACATCTTACGAGTCACGCAAAATAATTACTTAATCAAAAGATAGACATATATAAAAAAGAAAAAAGGTCATCGCAATACACGTCATAGAAATCAATGCAATCCGCATATAATGTCAATCTATGACTACATTTACACTTTCATTTTAATCTGGTTATAACTATTAACTTAAAATATGTAATTCACACATTTTAAACTAGCGTCTAACTCTGATTTACAACAGTATTATAATATCAGTTGTTATAACACCGATATAAACTAGCGTTTACACGATACTTTAAGTCAATAGTCAAAACTACGGATGTTAATAAACCAGATTAATGGAAGCGTGTAAATGTAGTTATTGTTTTCGCGATATTTATGAGCAGACGCAGTTTAATAAAACGTACACGGGAAATCTGGAAAACACGAGGCGAACGGCTTGGGAACAAAACCTCGTGGAGATTTATAAACACAACCTAATGGCCGCCGCGGGACATCATAGTTACACCCTACGGGATAATCATATTGCCGATCTCAACACTCGACAGTACATACGCAATATGGTTGGTGAGCCTATAATTACGAAAATAAAATTCTAATTCAAATTTCAAGATTTTTAATTTTAATTTTCGTTGCAAAAAACTCTCCCTCTCTCTCCCCTTTTCATTAGACTTCAGTAGATAAAAAAATCTTTAAAATTTTAATTCTTTATTACAAATATTATATGAAATAAACTAATTAAAAGAAAACCTAAATAAATAAAATCGCGCTGATCATGTTTCCTTCTCTCAGATGAAACTGATACCGAGTCAAAGGCGCCGATTGCCAACCGAACCGATGGTATCGGCGGTTCTGCAGAACCCTCACAGCATACCAAGGCGTCTAGATTGGCGCGAATACGGTTTCATCACCTCGCCGGTGAACCAACGGGACTGCGGGAGTTGTTACGCTTATTCGATCGTGGAGAGTATACAGGGACAGATTTTTAAGCAAACCGGCATGCTGCTCCCCTTGAGTGCACAACAGTTGATAGATTGCAGCACGGCGACCGGGAACCGTGGCTGCGTCGGAGGTTCCCTCAGGAACACTTTGAAATATCTGGAAAAGTCGAAGGGTCTCATGGCCGGATACCTGTATCCGTACAACGCCGAGGTACGCACTACTCTTTTTTCCACCTGTCGAACATACGATTCGATATTCCGTCGAAGCATCGTGTATAAAATGTAGCATTCGAATCGCTCTCGCATGTTTTGCAAAACGTCATAAAACGTACATCTCTTTTGAAATTCAAAAAAAAAAGAAAAGGAAAATTTCTTCTCCTTATCTCATCTCTTCGAATCTCTCTTCTTTTTATCATTTCATCTCTTTTCTTCATTTCATTTCTTTCTCATTTTTAATAACCCCGCAAAAAAAAGTTCATTTTTTTGAATTAGTGATCATTAATCATAGCTATACATAAAAATTTATTGAATAGCTATTTCAATGTATTAATAAACTCGAATTTCTGGGTTTTTTTTTTACTGCCCATACGTAATAATATATTATTAGCGACTATGAACGAAGGTGCTGACAGTGCGAATTTAATTATCGCAATAAAGAAGTAAACGTCAAGGTTTATTCCATTATTTTGCGAATTTCCTCTGGTCGGAAATATAAGAGAATCTGTGAAAGATTTCGGCGACGGAGATCCAAATTATGCCAATGACGATAGTCTTCTGTAATATAAATGACGATGGCCTTGTCAGCCTCTCCCCCTCCCCCCTCCACCATTAAAAGCAAATATGCTTTATACATTTTCATATCACACATCAAGGCTATTTATTTCATAGATATTTAATAAAGTAGTGTAATTATTGCCTGTTAAATCGTGCAATAAGAAGAAAACGCGCTTATCTACGAGCCGTCTTAATTTAACACCACGACATGTTGACGACGGAATTCAGATGATGCAACCGAAAAGTATGGCAGACACACTTCAATTTAGTAGTGTCAACAAACGTGTATGGGCAAAGTGTTCTCTGCCTTCTTGAATGTCAATTTTTTCCTATTAAACTTGATTCCTTTAATTAGACGATGTTACTTTATTGATTATACATTTCATTGAATCAAATTTAAGCTTTATTGTATATATCCGCTTCAAATTTAATCAAGAATAAAAAACATTTAATAACAAAAAAAAATTCAGTTAAAAATTAAACTATGTAAGATTGTGATTAGTAAGAATATTTTTTCTAAAAGATTATTTTTTTATTCTGTCACTGTTTTTGATCAATTTTAATCACGTTTATACATTTATTCAAAAATAGCATTTACACACACGCATATATATA